ACAATCTCCTCTCCCCAATGTCTTTAATCTTGATAATATTCAAAGCATTTTAACTGTTGGTCGCTTACCTAGGGTAATGTTAATGCCAATGATATTGTAAATTTTAGGCCTTATATCTCGAAAAATACTTAATAAAAATTAATTTTATTATAGAGTGTTTTAAAAAGCTCTTAACATCAGCTATTAGATTCTGGAATTAAAAATAGGCTGCCTTATTTTAAAAAAATATCACGTTTGCGTTTTTTAAAAATACATATTTAAAAAAATACATATTTAAAAAAATTTTGTAAACGTAATATTAATTTAAGCAAATATAAGAATAATGACAATAAAAATACAGGTATAATACCAATGTATGTTTTTAATGATATTCTTCTTACAGAAATGTATAGACATTTTAATTGAAAAAGAATATTTGGAGCGCACAGAAGGTCAAAAGGACACTTATAGCTATTTGGCATGATCAGGAGAACGATGCAGCAGCAATCACAAAATAAAAACGACATATACTTCACTCACTCACATTGATATATATGTATCAGACTATTTATTTAAGGTCTCGAGTGTAATTTCCTATTTTTATTCTGTACATGAATACCTTTGTACCATATTGTCATTCTGGTCGCATTTAGAATTTGGCTTTTTATATATCTTTTAAAAGATATATGAATATAACATAAAAAAAGATGTTAATAAAATTATTTCGTAATTATATTAGCCAGTGCTAGGTGTATTACTGTCTGTGCTGTTTTTCAAAATGAGGCATTTTGCTCCATTATAGTATCACAAATATCATTTAAGACTTTAGATATTCTGTAGTGAATTATATAAAATTATTTTTTTTAATGTATGTATATATTTTTTTATTGTATTATTAATATTACCAATATTTCCTGATCTTGTGAAGATATTAAGTGTTGTAAATGTGGAGAAAGTAAAAGATATGTTATGTCTACTATTATATACATATATATATATACATATATGTATATATAAAGATCATGATAAAAAATATAATTGGTTATACAAAGGAAATCGGTTTTACACAGAATAAGATCTACTATATATATATAATAAAAGAATGTACAAAATTACAAGCGAGCACATAGATAGTAATGCATTTTAGCAAAAGTTCAACTCTTACAGTAGACATAAGCCAGAAAATTTTATAACATTATATGTAAAATTTTATCATAATAGCAATTTAAATGTCTCTGCGCGATAGTATAATTGTATGAATTCTGCATGTCCTAGATAGAATATTTAAAATTATGAAAATACAATTCTGCTAACGATTTCTTTTTGAAAATATATTAACACATCAATTTGCACGATTAACACAAAGCTTAAAAAAATTTTATAAAATTAAATTTAAGAGTGCATGTGTGTGTGTGTGTGTGCGTACGTGAGTGCGTGCGTGTGTGTGTGCATGCATGCATATATATATATATATAATTTGTTCTATACACACAAAATCTTGGAAGATAACATTCTTAATTATCTTTTGATGGAAGAAGATTAACATGTCGATTAACTTAATGTTGATTAATTAATCGAATATTTATATATAGGTTTGTATAATTTTTATTGCTTAAAAGATTTGAGAAAAACGCTTGATGTTGGTACAATACGGAAACAGTAACAATATTTATGGTGTGTAATAGAATTTACAGAAAAAAATATACATAAACGAATAATAAACGTAAGTTACAAGTGGTGCTTATGTGAATCTTAACTTTAGTGCTCTCAATAACAGTCAGCAAGAGTTATAGATCCTGTAATTATAAGCGTTCATAATGGTTACGATCATTTCGAAATTGAGTTACAAAACTCAATGTGTATAGAAATGAGGGAGAGAAAAAGAGAAAGAGAGAGAGAGAGAAAGAAAGAGTGAGTAAATGAGAGAGAGAGAGAGAGTTAAAAATTTTAAAGTATACGTATCATGATCCTAGTACTCGGATATTATGACATTTTTCATAGTATATTATCAATGATAAAAATCTGAAGAGCGAATAGAATAAACTGAGAATTACTTATTGTAATTAAATTTAATCAAATATTGTATTAACATATATACTTACCCGCAGGGTGAGTGACACAACGTCTATATATTTAGCTATACAGAAACATTAACTTAGTGTATTTTATTAAAATGTAACTGTGAATTTCTTTTTCAAATTATGAAAGCATTAACGTAATGTTATTCGAGCTATAGGTTGTGCAGAGAGATACTGACTATATTATACGGTCTTTATCCATTACATGTGATATTTGCTATTATTTAATATTTCTGTGTAAAAGAAGTAATTTCCAGCAATTTCAACGAATTGTTTGCGAAAATAAGTTTGTTTGCTTTTTGTAAGTTTAGACATTTATTATAATACATGCAATATTTAGATCGAAGGTTTACAATCCTTTATTCACAGAAGGAATACTAACATTTATTTGTATCGCTCAGTGAAATATATTATTGATAATTTTGATGAGCTATATATTTTTTTAAATTTGCACAGCTCATTGCATAACGAATGCATCACGATTATTATAAGGAATAATATTGGATATTTATATTCCGCGTTGATACGCGGCAAAATTTGATGCTTAAAATCTTTTATTTTTGTATACTTGGAGTTTGTTATTGTCAGTTATTATTTCTTGCATTAAATACAAAAATAACAAATAAACTGACGAAACATTTACAACAAACTATAAAACAACTTTGATTTGAAAGTCGCATAGAAATCAAATCGTTTTAAAGCGATTTTTTTTATTATTATTTCGTTTTTCCTCTTGAGTAGGAAAAATAATTATAAAGTTTAAATGTATTTATACGAAATGTACGATGTCCATAATAGCTGCGAAGATCTCGGTTTTTTTTTACTTATAGACAATCGAATATGTGAAGTTAGCATCAGAACTATAAGAATGCAGGCTTAATAAAAGAAACAAGAAATAACAGGTTTTAATTTATCAGGAATTGGATACACTGAAATACACTGGTTTCTGATATGTTGAAATTTCTTTTATTTCTTATCCCTTCTATTGTGACTGCACTCTAATAATTCCTGAAAGGGTCATTTTGAAAAGTGTAGTTCTCTTATTCATATTATATGATTATATAATTTATATACCTACATTTATATTATTAATATATAATTTCATAATCATATGGTATATCATTTTTTTGTTGTCCTATTATATATTAATTTTTAATGTAGCTGAAATGTAAATAAAATCATACAAAATTGTCTATTTCGCTTACTGTTTTATATTTATCCTAATTTTGTATAATATTATTGTATTAAAATATTAATATCTTAAATGTATGCTGTGTCGTATATTTCTTGATTTCATTTTGTACATTTCGATTTCGTGCGACTTTGACAGTTTTTGACAGCTGTCATAATCTATTAATTTATTCATGGTAGAAGTCCATACGGTGGCAATAGTGAAGTATGGACAAATGATGGACACATGGTGTATTACTAATTACACCATGCCGGTGTATTCAGTTTGCAAGTGTCTCTCTCTTCAAATTGAGCTGGTACGCGTATTAAATGATATTAAAAAGTCTCAGCGTGCTGTAAACACTTTGTTCGTTTTAAATCATATGTATATTAAACTCGCCACTGCTATTAACAATAAGTTCAGGTTAAAGTTAGAATTAAGGATTTTGTAATCTTGAAAAGAGCAGTGAAGACATCATGTTACTTAACCTAATTTGTTCTGAGATAGATCGGTGTAAATAATACTTTATTAAATATTTATTCCATACCAATTTGATACGCGTACTACATTGACAGTGTAAAAGGGGTCTATGACAAGCTTCCAATGTATTCCCGACTCTTGTTGAATTTTTGCGAACGATTTTTATATCGTACTTCAAACAGTGTTAGATCACCGAACATTAAAACAATAAGTCATGTTGCGAATAAAAGTGAGGAAAAGCGAAAAGAGGAATTTACCTCCACGAGATTTCCTGATTATGAAGTTATTTATGTATTTCCTTTTATCAAACAAGCTTGTGGTATAAATGTTGTAAAATACCGATTTACTATATTCACTGGAGTAGTCGCACCAATAATTGTTGGACTTCACTTGGCCAACTTCTTACCCTTTGACATAACTACTGTGTCATTAACAACTGGTAAAATATAAACATATTTTACATTTCTCTCAAGTAAAATTGATTTATATAAATATTTTCTCTTTTTATCCACAGGAATTATAACAACACTATGGTTGCATTCTGTTGGAATTTTATGCAATAATCTCATAGGATATGTATACTTGAAATTGGATGAAGAAAAAGTGATATTATCTTATATAGATTATTGGGGAAAGAGAATAGACTTGAAAGTTTCTTGTAATGAAATTTACCCCATGTCAGATAATCCGATCAGTATTACTGATCCTTTATACAGAAAAATAACGCTGACTTCTCAAAAGGAGATCTTAAAAATAAATATGAAGCTAGGACAAATAATTGATGTTGACAAATTTAGATGTATTCTGGGAATGGTTTAACAATTTTATTAAATTTGTATAAAACATTTCTATGCATTATTATATGATTTCTATGCAAATTAATTAATTTATACATACAAAATTTATTTTATAGTGAATTTGGTTGCTTTGATTACACTAGATTAGTGAGTACTGAAAACTGCTACATATGAAATTAACAAAATTAAATGTAAAGCATAAAAGTATTTTAAACTAAATGCTTAATAATATTGTCACATTTATTTAACAAAATATACACTGTATTGTTTTGTAGTCAAAAATTGATCATGGCCTGGTTTCACCAGACGTTTTTCCATCTCTAATTAGTTTGGTCGATCAAATTCCATTGGAATGGCCCAACAATATTTCTTGTTAAAAATAGAATTAACCAATCACAATTGACTTAATAGACCAGCTAATCATAAATGATAAAATTGACCATATATTATCTTGCTACATATTTGGTGTTTAGAAACAAAAAAAAGGATAAGAAGTAAAGAATAACAAATTTTAATTAGAAATCAGAATACAAGTTTCTGATATATTGAAATCTGTTATTTCTTTTTTCTCCCGTTATTTCTTCTTATTTCTTTTTTTTCCCATTGTGTCTGAGCCTTGATGTCAACTAGTCTTGTACAAGTGATTGAATTCACTATTATCTACAATCTACATCCATCTGAAGTGTGCATAAACCCGATTAGCTTGGCATTGCTGGTGTAATTCTTGCTTCCATTTAACCGCACGACCCTGAGACAATAGACATCATTATAATATATCTTATATAGGATGTACACTAAGGGTATTAAAAATTTTAAGGGATAATTCCTCGCACAAATTCAAGACGAAAACTTCACAAGACCATATGTTTAATATAGCTTAGTTTCAAAGATACAGAAAATATCAGAGTTGAAAAAAAATTTTGAAAATCATTCTAATTATTTTGATGAAACTTTGTATATGTTTGAAAGACAGCCTCTTTTAAGACTATACATTATTTTTTGGATTTAATTAGGGACGGACCTAAGGATAAGTGGGTATCATTTAAAAAAAAAAAGGAAATATCTATTTATGCTTGAATTTGCCTTTAGATTTGTCAAGTAGCACCAACATCTGTATCTTTGAAATTAAATTGTTTCAGACATGGTTTCATGAAGTTGTCATCTTGAAATTGTGTCAAATTGTGAAAAATCATTTAAAATCTTTTAGCATATTTAACCCTTAAGGCGCACACGGGGTCCAGGTGACCCCATTTTTTTTTTTAAAGCGCTACAGCGCTTAAGCGTCGAAAAAACAAGTGTTTTGAAAGGTTTTAAAGCATTTTTATTCATTTTTATTTTTCTAAAAAATTATTTCCTGATCGACTAAAAGATTTTTTCCTGATCGACTGAATTAACTTTCGGTCATTCTAACCATTAAACCTTAAGAAGAACATTATAAAGAACACTCCATAATTTTTTCACAACGAAATTCTAAATACGGTAGGTTACACAGATCATTTTAGACACTGGGGTCACAAAGACCCCGTATGCGCTTTATGAAATTCTGAGGTACGTGTGCGCCTTAAGGGTTAATATATATCCTTTATATATATAACGTATTGTATACACATCAACATTATAGAAATTATTTTATATATTTTTTTGTAAAATATAGATTATAAACCTGATTCTGAGAAGCTGCTACTAATTCTTTGGCTAATACATCATAAAATCTCAATTTGGAGTCTTTCTCATTTGCAGCTTGAATTAACCATAACATGGACCTATGCTGTGCCTTTAGAGATGAAATTGGAATAGGAACCTAAAAAGGTTGATTTTGCTTCAATTTTGTTACACAATTAATATTAATTTAACAATACACACTGCTGAAAATTGCTGATATTGCAATATCAAAAGTAAATGTTTAATTAGAACAGAACTATTTTATTTCTTATAGGAACTATATAAACAAATGATTAAATTTTCAGAAATCCATCACTCATAAAAGATATAATATATGATATCGTCCACATACATAATTTTAAAAATAATATTTACAGTTTCAGTCTCATTGTTTTGTGAATGAATATGAGCTTGAAATAAAGATTTAAAAAAGTATTGAAAAGGATTAGAAACTGTAAGTAAAAAAAAACCAGGAAAAACGAATTTTTTACTCCGAAACTAAAAATTTTTACTCGGATATGTATTTTTTTGTTTTTTAAACAATTGATGTCATATTTTTTTAGAATTTAGTTTTAGTATTCATCAAAAAGATTTCTATGTAAAGACAGTTGTGAACAATCAAAATGTAGTACAGTGATTGTATAGTAATAGCCATTGATATAATTAAATCCAGTTTCAAAAAGATATTAATTTATTAAGTATTGCAATAATGCAAAGTTTTCATCTTGATTTATAAAAATATAAAGACAAGAGATATCAAATATTGAAATAATATAGATATTCAATGTTTTAACAATAAATATCAAGAAAAATGAATTCTATACATATCATCTACGTCTATTTCAAAGATTTCAATAAAAAGAATTTTTTACTATAAAAAAAATTGAAAAATGGAATTGAAATTAAGTGAAATGAAAATTAAATTTTTATTTCACTTTCTTACTCCAAAATAAAAAACATTTTTTTATCTTAAACTTGGAATGTAGTATTACTAGGATAATATTAGATACTTGTTTGATATATTAGTACTTACAAGAATTACAGTTTGTATTCAAGTATAGTCATGTAATAGCTATTATACATATATATATTATATATATTGTATATTTTATAGATATATATATATTAGGAGTACAAATTAGTTCGATCTGTTTTCCAAAAGATGATTGCCTCCAAAGAAGAGTCATTTTTTTTAGATGGAATTCGAAAATTACCTGAGAGATGGGAAAAAGTAGTAGCCAGCGATGGACAATACTTTAATTAATCTGTTCATTCATTTTGTTTTGAAACAAATGCATGTTTGAACACAAAAAATGGACCGAACTAATTTGTACACCTAATATATATTGTATATTAGATTATAAAATATAAAATTTAATATTTTTCAACAAAGTGAAATAAATCCTTTAAAACCTTAATCATTTTATCCACACCTCTAATATTTATAGATTTTTATATCAAAATGATCTTTTCATGTTGCAATTTCAATTTTCAGTACATTACCTTATATGTGATTCCTCCTTTTCTAAAATTTTTTAATTGTAAAATCGGTATACAATTATCAACAGCACGATTGAAAACCACAAATGGATCTAATTCAATTTCAGCTTTTGCTTCGCTTGTCGTTGCTTTATGATAACGCTCCAGCTGTATTCTTTTGACACCTTCGAATGTTTTATGTACCAATATTGATGATAATTTCTTATTTCCATTTTTCATAAGAGTATTAATAAATTTCCTAAACACAATTAAAGGATAAGTTATACAAGATAACACAAAAGTCTGCATTGAAAAAAAAACTAGTTTCTCACAGCACTCTTTCATTATAAAATTCGGAGCATGTGTCAGTGGCTAATGCTGGTTTCACTTGCTCATGCATAATCTTCTTTGCTTCATCGCTTTGAAAAAGAATATCTTGATCTTCTTTTTTATATACTGGTGAAATATAATAAGGTGGGAAGACGCTATATCCTCTTTTGAGACTTGTGAAGTAACATCTAAAATTATTTACACTTGTATAAATTCATGAAGATTGTAAGTATACAACAAACATTTAAGATAATTGTTGAAAAGAGAGATCTTAGTTTATTTATAAAAATTATTCGTTTTGTCACCTTGCCAATCCATAATTGTTTAATAATTTTGTAGTCGAGCTAACAAATAAATTTAGATTAACCATTCTTCTGATAACAACTGTAAAAAGTCTGAGGCAGCTGTGTGTACGAGGTATGTTTTTTATTCTTTCACCATGTATGGATATGTATCAGCAGTGTGATACACTTCGGTGCAAATAGCGCAAATTTTACTATAGTAAAAGAGAGAAGCCAAGTGAGACAACTTAAAGGTGCCTTTTCATGCCGACGCTCGATGCTCATTTTCAGCGTTAAAACAGATCACGTGATAAAAATTGACGAATAGCAAGCGTCAATTTTAACCACATGACCTATTTCGACGCTAAAAATGAGCGTCAAGCATGAAATGGTACCTTAAAACCTATTTACAATGGCCAATAGCAGTGGATTATGCGTCATGCAAAGTGTGTGCTGTTGGTTATTAGGCTGCGCACAATGGAACAAATATTAGGAACGAGAATTAAATACTCAGGCCCGTATTCAGAACGCGCTTATAACGATGTTAGCGTTCTAGCATGCTATAGTTTACGGGCCTATAATATTTATTTATTTCCCCCATTATGCGCAAGATTTATACTAATCTAACTTTACCTGAACCTGTTTTCGAGCGTCAATTGAATCTCATGAAAAAGTACCTTAAGCGGTCGAATGCTCGTAACTCGTGACAACTGTGACGAGTTGAGTGAAATTTCGCGAGGAGATTCGTAGGAGGTTCGGTGGATTCGGTGACTTGTGGTTCGGTAGTTATCGTCTCGGAACTTCAAAGCGGATAGCAGGATTCTCTTCTTTCGGATCGCGCGACAATACAAATGGTGCGACTGCTGCATAATGTATATGCCAGACTGTTGAGATCCTGCGAGAAGGTCTCCTAAGAGAAGCGCCTTTGACGACTCCGTGCGGGCGCGAAACGCGAGGTTTGAGGGCGATTCTTGCCAGAATGGCGGAGAATCAGAGTAATTTGTCCAGTCAGACCGGTCAAGGTATGTTGTTGTCACTTTCGCACACACGATGCCATTTTTTAATGGATAACTTAACCTAATCTTATCTCCGCGGTGACACGAGTCCCGACTCCCGTGGAGAAGCGAGGACCACGATTTTGTCGAACGACGCATGATTCTCGGTCTCAAAGTTCCCTTCGTTACTTTCTAATAGAATCCTAACGTTGCAGGTTCTGGCAGATCTTTTAATTTTCCGCGAATGGATTTTCGAACAAATAATGACGTTCAAAATGAGATGTCTGGTACGTTCGACATTATGTGATCTCTGAGAAAAAGGAGGAGAGAGAAATTGCAATGTTGGGATGATTTCCTCACTATTCTGCGTTCTGTTGTAGAGAGACGAAGACAGCTGAAACTTAGTTTCCAAACACAAGGCAATAATTTGTCGTTTGCCAATTCTACGAACTCTTTATTGTCAAATTCAACAGGAGCCATGGCGTGTCCACCAATGTGAGATTTTAGCAAGCAAAATAATTCCATAGGTGTTTGTCCTTTCTACATAATAAGACTAACTTTTCCATTCGTGATGATAGATCCTCTCGCCCAAGTCTGCCTTTATCTCTACCTAAGCTGCCAGTAAGATCTCGCAATATGTTACAGCAGCAAGAATTTCTTCCTGATAAGGCAAGGTATGGAAATTAGAAACAAAAAGAAGGCATTTCATTTGAGATAAATTACAACGGAGCTTATTGTAGAGACAAACTACGAATGTGCCAGTCTATGCAGACTACTGGTAAATTGCAATTATCTTCAGACGTAGTGTATGATTTCACAAGCGAGGACCTTCAGGATCTTGGAGAAATAGGAAGAGGAGGATTTGGAACTGTAAATAAAATGATTCATAGGATAAGCAATACCGTTATGGCTGTGAAGGTAAGTAATTAAAGTTTTCATTTTATATATTCCTTCCAATTTTATTTAAGGCAGAAACAGAGAAAGTAAAACATAAATTGCAGTAAACAAATTGACTAATCACAATAGAGAAAACATAAGATTAATGCATTACATTTTTTATTGTGATTAGCCAATTCGCTTATTGCTTACATCTTACTGCTTTACATTTGAGTGTATATCAATTATGTATGTTGTAACTGGATATTAACCAATCACAGTATTATAAAAATAAATAAAAAAAGCTTCCTAGATGAAAGTCGCTGTAATTGACCAGAGGATAATTGCAACGGTGTATAAGTAAACCGCTCCCTTAGAATTTGTAAATTATTTGAATTATATTTTAGAGAATTCGCTCTACCGTGGACGAAAGAGAACAAAAGCAATTGTTAATGGATTTGGAAGTTGTGATGAAATCGAATGAATGCCCGTGTATTGTGCAATTTTATGGCGCTTTATTTAAAGAGGTATATATAATTCGATGATATCGCAAATCAGTGATCAAGATAATTATTAGTATTTTATTCTTTCACATACAGGGAGATTGTTGGATTTGCATGGAACTTATGGATACATCGTTAGATAAGTTTTACAAGTTCATCTATGAGAGATTAAACGAGAGGATACCAGAATGTATTCTAGGCAAAATCACAGTTGCCACTGTGAAAGCACTGAATTACCTCAAAGAGAAATTAAGAATAATTCATAGAGATGTGAAACCTAGTAATATTTTATTGGATCGTCGAGGTAATATAAAATTGTGCGACTTTGGTATATCTGGCCAGCTTGTGGACTCGATTGCGAGGACTCGTGATGCTGGTTGTAGACCATACATGGCTGTAAGTTTTACAGCATGTATAATTAATAATTCTAAAACTCGAATAGCTTGTGTTAAATTGTCCATAAATATTATAAATTATTTAGCCGGAAAGGATAGACCCTCAACGCGCACGTGGCTACGACGTACGGAGCGACGTATGGTCATTAGGTATTACGTTGATGGAAGTTGCTACAGGATACTTCCCATACCCAAAGTGGAACTCTGTCTTTGAACAACTGTATCAAGTAGTGCAAGGTGATCCGCCGCGACTTTCCCCCAATGAGAATGGCAATCACTTTACTATGGATTTTGTGAACTTTGTGAATACATGGTAGAATAACATCCATATTTTTCTACCAGTACAACTATACGTTCCTTTTGGAATGACAATCGTTTGTATTATCTGTTAAGCTTAATTAAAGAAGAGACGCAGCGACCGAAGTACAATAAACTGCTGGAACATCCGTTCATCAGACAAGCCGAGGAAGCGACGATCGATGTCGCGGCGTACATCAGTGGTGTTCTGGACAATATGGCTAATAACGGAGTGACACCGTTCACTACTAATCAACCATAAGAATCGGTAATTAAAGCGACGATGTGACTGCAGGGCATGTCACACATAATACATCGGTTTTTGCAGTTCTCTTCAAACTTTTACCTTCCGAATACCGTGTACGAACGGTGTTATTGCACTCCGAACGATATCTCGTAGATAGCTGAAACCGATGACTGTTTCCGTCGACATGCATCGTCGTCTCACTTAGAATTTGTATTCTTGTGGTCATGGAATGACCGTGTATGCAATAGAATGACTATTGAGAAGCGCGCTGGCGAGCTGGCGTTTGTTAAATTGAATTACAATCGGTATGCACGTACGTTTTTTCTCTCCTTATATATTCTGTCTTTCTCCCTTTCCTTCTCTCCTGTCTTTTAAACACACATGCGCGCGCGCGCGCGCACATACACAATGCAATCGTAGGTATACAACATGTCCTGACAGCGTTTTCTTCGGTTCATGTAATTCGCGCAATAACGTGACTTATTCAATGAAATATTTATATCTATATTAGAATTTCTAGCGAATCATGCATATGCATGTATGTATGCACATATTTATGCGGATATATGTGTATATGAACTTGTATTTGTACCTGTACAGTAGACTGTAATTCGTGGTACAAAAAGAATTGATTTTTTATGTGAAGATAAATTAAAAAAAAAAAGATTACATTTTTATATATAAAACACTTGATATTATTGTTATTCCATTTATATTATACATGTCCATAAGGAAAGAGCGACTTTTCTCATCGATTAAATCTACTACTAAATTCTCTTAAGGGACCTCTTTAAAAATCTAATAGACAACGCTTTTAGGTTTTTTTTTCAATATAATTTAAAATTAAAATCTATATGCACTGGAATTTTGTAGTTTTTTTTGTGGTACATATATTGAATTATCTTTAATAAAAATTTGGTACAGATATGTTTATTATTAAGTTCTAAGTTATTATTATTAGCGTTCATATAATTACGAAAATCGCAGTTTACATGATATCTCGATTCTCAATAATTTGAAACAGAAATCCCAAGGAATTTTTATTTGTGAATGTTTGAAGGAGAGCATGAATTTGGGAAAAGGAGAGAAATGAAAAATAACAAAATGACGTCAGTTCAAAATTAAAAGCCAGTTTTTTTACGTACAAACTGATTATGAGCAATAAAGATTAATTTTTAGACTTTCGGGACATCTGAGGAAGTCTTTAAAAAAAAATATTTTACATTTTTTCCCATTTACCTTTGGATAAATAATCGTTTTTTTTCGATTGTTTCACGAATTACAGTCCATTTTGTACAATCGCATAATTGTTTCTTGTCTAAAAGTTCTGATTTCCATAATCTTTCATAAGGAGCGTCGTAGGAGTACTCGGCAGACTAGTCGCCAAGATGATATCGAGGATACATTCGCATTGGCCATTTTTTTGAGGATTTTCTTAGGACAGATTTAAATACGAGTATCAAATATTAGGAGTGCTATAATGTAATGGAAATAAATCATCGACACTCGCAGCTCTCTCTTCTCGCTAAACTCCCCTTACTTCGCTGTACGCCAAGTTTTCACGCCTTGCTGATTCCTTTTACGACTAATTGGTAAGTCCCTCTTATCTTCCACGTGGCGGTTTGTCTACCGGCAGATTTTAAAAACTGCGGGTCCAGGTGCAATTTCGCCGTTGTGCGAACGTTAGAGGTCTTCGCCAATCGTGTTCTCTTGTGTATCTGCTTAAATTGTTCTGTAAAATATTCCGGTGTGATATAAACAATTAGAAAAAAAGAAGAGACAATACAATAATCCAATAAAATAAATGGCCAAAAACGAATTAAGGATGTTAAAAACTTATTGATTATATTCAATGTG